CCAGAAACCGAACAGTATTTATATCATATTTTACCTCTAAGACAACACTATGTCCAACTTCCTTGAGCAGGCAGCCGGTGCGTGAGGTGTGTACGCGCTCTGGCGTAGTTTACGCAAGCGCCGGAAGTGATCTCTCGCGTGTATACGTCACTCATTGTTTACACAGTGCACAGTGCATTGTAGATATGACGGCTAATCAAAATGGTACTTACTTGCGCTTATCCGGATTGCTCAAACCGACTTAAAACTAAAAGATTACGTTCTCTCGCGTGAACTCATTCGGGAGTGTTGGCAGACAAATCCAAATTAATTCCTGCGGCTCGTGACGACACATTGATGAATTAATTTGGATTTGTCTGTGCATGCTTTTTTAACTCTCATAGATTTTGTTACCATTGCATTATAAGACTGATAGACTGCAACGGCTGGAGTTAAAAATCATCATATGTGTTCTACTGAACAAACAAAGTCACCTACATCTTGGATGCCCTGGGGGTAAGCAGATAAACATCAAATTTTCATTTTTGGCTGAACTATCCCTTCATATTGAATGACATTGTTTGGGATAAAAGCCACAATTCAATACTGCCCTCTTGTGTAATTCTGAGGTGTCTGATTCTTGTTTACATTGACCTGAATGTTACTTCGTAATAGGACTTCAACTCCCAAAATGCAACAGGGTTTCAGGAAAGGGCGGGGCTTCTGCTTTCAGCTGCATTGTGGGAGCGGGAAAACGCCGCAAATACTCACGTTGTTCAACTGTGAGGTTTTCTACGAAGCCGTTGATACAAGGTACTGGAATGTTTTATGACACAAATCTATTATTTGTAGTCTATCGTTTTGTCTTTCGCGAAAGTATACGGTCCTGTTGGATCTGTTCGATGCTTTAGCGGAACAACGTCTATTTCAGACATTCATTGTTTGCTTGGTTTATGTATTCGACTCGTTTGAGAGCAGTCTAGATATATATATGTATATTAGTTAGTTTAGTTACTTAAGTCAGTATAAGCTAGCTGTATTAAATACCAAAACTGAATGGTTTTCATGGCGTTCCATTTTTGTGCGTGGATATGCAATATGCACAGAACATGATTCCTGAACGAATGATTCTTATGAGCCGGTTCGTTTTACTGAATCAAAAGTATACAGCGGGACCAGTGTAGTCCGAGTCCCGAACGAATTGTTCTAATGAATCGGATCTTTTTAAGTGACTCGAACACTTAAGAATCAGTATTCTCTCTGAGTCTGAACGTTCACCTCTAGTTATTACTTTCATCATCAACGATTAGAAACTATTCTAAACTTGGTGTTAATTACATTTTTTTTGTCTTCAGATTAAAACATGTCTATTGGTGTTCCCATCAAAGTCCTGCATGAAGCAGAGGGTCACATCGTGACCTGCGAGACAAACACGGGTGAGGTGTACAGAGGCAAATTGATTGAAGCAGAGGATAACATGAACTGCCAGGTACTGCTGAATCACAATTCATTCTTGATGCATTGTATCTACTTTATCCAAACATTTACTTTAAACTTAAATTTAAATTTGCAGGGAGCCTTGAGTAATGAAACTAACTGAGCTTATGTTTTATTTGAATCAGATGTCCAACATTACAGTGACCTATCGAGATGGCCGAGTGTCCCAGCTGGAGCAGGTATACATTCGCGGCAGCAAAATACGCTTCCTCATTCTGCCTGACATGTTGAAAAACGCCCCCATGTTGAAGAGCATGAAAAACAAAAACCAAGGTGCAGGAGCTGGAAGAGGCAAAGCTGCTATTCTCAAAGCTCAAGGTTGGACCTTTTTATGACATCTTTGACTTCATTACAGTAACTGTAGTTATGCTGTGTGTTTTTCAGGTCAAATGCTTTTTAGCCGCATTATTTGTGTAGTCCCGAATTATTTTTGTTGGAGCATCTAGTACATTTTAGTACCATTAGCAATTGCCTTTAAATATCAATTATATATAAATATTAAATATAAATAATACAATTAATTTAAATGTCCTAAAGCACTGAACACTGTTTGTCTTTTGTTTAATCGGGAGGCTGAACAAGTTAATGCTTTTCATGGGAAACGCATAAGATGAAACCACTAACTGTTTGTCTTTCCTTTGCAGTCGCAGCAAGGGGCCGAGGTCGAGGAGGGCCAGGAGGAAGGGGAAATATTTTCCAGAAAAGACGATAATGTGAATCCAGTTTCAATCACAACTGTGTCATTTTGTACAGTGTTTGTTTTTTTTCTTTTATGAGAAGTTGTGTGCTGCTGTTTTTTGTTTTTTTTTTGGTTTGGTTTGGTTTGGTGATCTTGTTTTGTTGATTTTGCAACAGTTAGTTTCACTTTTCTCATGTAATAAAGCTGTTTAATTATATAAAAAGTCTGTTTTATCAATGGTGCTAAACCATTCCTTAATTGTATCGCATTGCATTTATTAACACATCAAAATCTAAACAGCTCAACAATTAAAGTTTGATTTATTTTGGTCAGATGAGAGAAAAAGTTGGAAGAAATGAAGACATTTTACTACTTTTATTTTTATTTTTTTTGTTATAAAAAAAAATATTTAGTGAAAATATGGATTTTGTCTCAGATTTCACTTGCAAAGCTCAAAGTATTTGACTGAAAACAATTTAATCTACTTTATTAACTTTAATGTATTTAATAGTGTATATGTAATTAATTAATATATGAATATATAATATTTCTTTATTAAGGTGTTTCACCACCTTTAATACAGCTTCCTAACTTCTTAGAATAGGTTCATGCAATTTTTTAATAGTCTCAAGTAGAATGTTGTCTAAAAACATCTTCCAGTTGCTTCAGATATCATGAGATATGTTGGAGGAGGGAATCAGCTTCTCTTACTTGTACAAAGATGTTGAAGTTCATCTTGGTGCTCCAGCTGTCCAGGTTTTATGATCACACTTTTTAAAAAAATTTTTTTTTTTTTTTGCATTTTAGCATTGGTGTCCTGATTATATAACACTAGAACACACAAAATATTAATTTGAAAACTGTTAGATAATTTGTCAATCTTTAGCAATGTCTAAACATGTAAGTTTATTTCTTTAGAGTAATAAATGAGTGCCATGGTTGTCTCCAAACAGGTTCCCACTGAAATCAATGTCATCTGCTATGAAAGTTCAATTGTATTGGCTTAGTAAAAATGGTACTTTGGGGATTTACACGAAATTGAAACGATCGAAAGATTAATTTTTGACTTGACTTCGTGTCAAAATGCAGTTGAGTAATAGTGCAGGCAGCGCTGAAGTTCAATGAATCAAGCTAATATCCCCTGCTTGTCTGTTCAACATTAGACGCAGTTCCCCTTGTGACCGTTAGATGTCGCCACTCACATTCACTCCCAGCAGAAGCACCTCCGTCCCCCGCTGCCTGCACATCATACCATATCATAAACCGCTACCATTACTGCCAGCGAGCTAACAACATACCCTTCAAAAGCAGGATCTTACAAACGGTCGAGGTAAGGACACAACACTGAACCAACGACCGCTGTTATACTTCTATAGGGCGACATGCGTGATCACAATGATTTTATTAATCCTCGGCTGGATTTCCCAAACATCTGTTTCGTAAGAGATGCGTTAGCCAGCTTGAACGGAATCTGCGCTTCGAGCTAGTCTCAGTGTTTACATCAAGCTTTTACAGATGATATGCATGAAATTGCGTTGCATGGCAATTGTGAAGCAGGAGTCTATACACATCTAATATTCACATAAGATCAGTTTGGTTATTAGGAAGTTGGGTTATTCTAAGAAATAGGAGCATTTTTAGCTTTAATGTGATTTAAAGTCAAATTTTTAAACATTCAGTAAAACTCAGTGAATTGTGAAATCAATCAATTGTAATTTATTCTGGGAGAGGATTGAGGATAAAACAGGGTTGACAGTTTTTAGTTCAAGTTGATATTGCGAGGTCGTGAAACTACAAAGTGCTTATTATGAGGAGAATTTAATGCTGATATTTCAACAAATCTCCACTTTTCGATTTTCAAACATTTGCTATGCACATTCATCTAAACAGACTTGAACATTTAAGATTGGACTATGATCAAAAGTAACAAAAAGACAAGAAAAAAACGAGACTGTAAGTTGTCTTGATTTTTAGATAAATTATAGCAGATCATTTTGTATTAGAATATATATTAGGCTTTCATATATTTTATATTTAATAACATTTTTCTAATATTACAAATATATATTATTCTAATATCCTCCTGAGAACTAGAAATAAAAAGCTTTGAGAATTGAGTATTTTTTCATGTCATTGTTTAGCGCATAAGAAAAATATGGTAAAATACGGAGAGCGAGTGGTCACGGTGAAACATCCAATCATTTGGTATCTCTGGAAAGCCCTGAATGTGCTCTGTACAGAACATCCAGACTTAAAACTGTGACATGTGAGGTCTCAGAGAAATTCACTCAAATATAATGTCCACTACAGAGGCTAAAACTCTATAGCTGGGTCTCAGGAGGATAAATAGCGAGACGCTGGACAGACAGGAGTGGTAAAAATGACTCATCTTTATGAAGAAAGAAAAAAGTTAACAGGTTTTGTTTATGTGTTTAAAGTTGGCATCATCTATTGAATGTTAAAGTTATTTTTTCCCAATATGTATTTGAGAGACAAAAATAGCACCTGTTTTGTAGAATGACCCAGTTACCAAAGCATTAAGCATCCTTAATTCATTTTCACCCTGTTTGTTTGACAGCTGATAAGTGAAACCCGTAAAATCTCTGGCTGCGTATCAACATCTAGTGAGCTGCCTGCCTAGACGGTATTTTCGGGCTTCAAAGGAACATGCAAATGGTTCTCATGTCCAAAAATGCTGTCTAGGTTTTGACAGCTATTGTGTGATATTTTAATCCATATGGCTATAATTAAAGGAAATATATGCATACAAGTACATTAGATGTCAGTTGTGCTGAATTATTAACAAATGGTGTTTTGTATCCACTGACTTGTGTTTTCATGGGTCTAAAATAGTTTGCCTTGTTTGGAGAGAGTGGCGTAAGACGGTCTCTGGAGGGCTTTTCCCTGTGGAATGAGCCATTCGGGTATGATTTGAAATCTAGCTGTGGGTGAGCTGGATAAAGTTGCTTATTTATTTTTCAGGCCTCATGTGAAAAAATGTGATTGAGGTTGGTGTAATTACTTTTCATTTCTTAGTTTATGGAACGTGATCAGATGCAACTAACAGCCAACGCATGGGCATGAGAAATATCCACCGACTTGTATAAAGTGTGGCGGACCTTTTTGTTTTTAAACTGATATACTGACATGTACACTGTAAAAAAAATTCCGTAAAATGTACGGTAAAAAACCGGCAGCTGTGGTTGCCGGAATTTTACCGTATAAAATATGGTAGCAACGTCTTAGGTTTCATATTAAAATTAAATTATTTATCAAATCCCAATAATATAACAATATTTTTTTAATATTATAGCAATTTATTACTATAATGCTAATAATATTACTAATTTGATTGAGCAATTTTAAGTTAACATTTATTGTAATGTTACAGCAACATATTATTATTATTATTATTATAGCATGTTCATAATCAGTAACAAGATATTCCATTTCATAAAAAACACCCCCCAAAAATAAAAATAAAAATAAATAAAATAGATAGTCTTAAAATACTCTATCTATCTATCTATCTATCTATCTATCTATCTATCTATCTATCTATCTATCTATCTATCTATCTATCTATCATTTTGATGCCATAGTGTACTGTATATTCAAGAAACCAGCTCTGTGTAAAGAGTACTGCACAGAAAATGTAAATAAAATAAGCAACAAATAATAAATTTAAGTAAAGAAAAAGCAAATAATCAGAGAAATTATAAAAAATTATGTTAATATCAAAATATTACAGCAATATATTATTATTATTATTATACATTAATAATACTACTACTAATACTAATACTACTAACAATATTAATACTACTACTAATAATAATAATCAAGATTAGGATATTTACAAATTAAAAATATTTACACACACATATATACATTGTGTACTCCACATCCCAATACCGTGTTCGGAAAGAAAAATGACGTGTAGGCGGAACCCCTAAAGGGAATAAATACGAGATGGGAGGAAAATATATATTTCAATATTTTTCCTCGCAGTTAAATAAATAATTGGGTAATTATACTACATATATATATTTCAGCATCAGGGAGCCGCTATTATACCTGGCATTGAAACTTGCATCGTGCTTTTGAATGCACAATCACTTTTAGTTTCACTTTCACTTTCGAGATTCGCGATCTCACGTACTCTGTTTATACTATGGAGCGGCAGTACTTGCCACACATTTTACAAGATTATATGTTTGTCAGTGGTACTGAGGATCTGCAAATCATTTGCCATCGTCCTCAGTCATCTCTCCTTACTCTGTTTATGTGGTAAGTGAAATTTTATGTACTGTAGTATGTAACAGGCAACCGTCTACACAGGACGCGACAGTTGTCGTGTTGCGCCGCGCTGCATCGGCTAAAGTCTGTCTACACTGGACGCGACAAAGCGACCGTTGAAAATCATTTGAAATTTGTGTCAGGATGTCATAAATAGAACGCGGCAGCAGTTTACTGTCAGGGATTTGTCGTGTCACGCCGCATCCAGTGTAGACAGCATCACTGATTATAATGAGTTCTATAGACTGATCTATATATAATACATCTCAATTATAGATCAGTGGTTCTATAGTATTTTGTCACGCCGCGCCATTCATGTCCGGTGTAGACACGGTGTTAGGAATCGTGTTTTCACTTATAAGGATTCACGCTTCCGGCACACCCGAATGGCGTCACACCATTCTTTGTTTTTCGCTTGAAGTGCTGTATATTGGGGTATTATTGTAAAGCCAAAATCATTGTCTGTGGAGATCGACAGCACCCCGCAGATGGTGTTGAGAGAGCTTAACTCGTTTTGAACCCAAAACTTGTCTTTAAAGTGTTAGGTACAACATGCTAGGTTAGTATTAAGTCAGTGTGTAGATTATTCCTGCTTCCTCTTGTCCACAGATTAGTACTTTGGTTTTCCCTGTTAAAGCTAATGTTTCGAAGAATGCTGAACACTCCAGATGGTCCCATATGGTCAATCCTCTGTGGACCCCTTTCCCCGTGGATGCCCTGTGCATCTCACCATAATAAAGACAACTAGTGAGTGTAAAGTCATTTGGTGTAAGGCTGCATCTATTTGTTTCTAGGGTAAAATGGGTTTCTTGCTGGAGTTCATCTTGGGTAAGGGATTGACTCAAAGTGGTGGGTCTTTTTATGCATTTGATGATGTTCTTTGTGGAAACCCTTTAATGTAGACCCAGTTTGTTATACATGTGGTCCGTGGGGGTCCAAGGATTGTTTGCTTGTGAGTCCGAGTCTCCATAACAAATGAGGTTTGGTAGGTTTGGCACGTGAAGGAGAAACACTTGGTTTGCAATCCATCAAAGATCGAAGTAGGTCACAGAAGAATGTGGAAACTGCTCTCAGATTAAAATAGCTCAGCCTACCATTGCAGTCAGGCCACATCTACTGTGAATTTCCTGTTCTTGAAAAGAGGACGTGATACTCTGGGTATTTTAGATGCTTGCAGTGTACCTGTAATACTGCCGCATGAGTTTCAGATAGTTGCCTGACGCTCGGACTGGATAATGACACATCAATCCCTCTGACTTTCTGCACACTTTCATCATCCCCCATCAGTACCTGAGCTGACAAATGGGTCGGACATGCCTGACCGCTCTGTGCTCAGCTGGGCTGTCTCTTTGTCATCGAGGTAGACAGGAAGTCACTAACGGCGTCCATACCAGAGACAGACCAGTGATTAAAATCGGATCTGACATTAAAAACATCTAATTTCATCATAAAATGTGCCTCTTCTACTCAGATATCTTAAAATAAGTGATTTATTTGGTTGTGTGCTGCTTTATTAGTGAATGTGTACTAATAATAGTAGACCATTAGTGCTGTGATGGTACAGTAATGGCATCAGATGTCAATACCATGATACTTTGCTACACTGAATGATTACCTTCAGAGATTGACCAATAATCACTTCAACCAATAGCCTATTTATTACCAGTTTACACTTTTTAATGCAATCAGCTCTTAAATAACTAAATACACTACCATTCAAAAGTTTGGGGTCGGTTAGATTTTTTAATGTTTTGGAAAGAATGCTACATTTATTTGTCCAAAAATACAGTGAAAACATTAATATTGTGAAATATCATTACAATGTAAAATACCTGTTTTGAGTTTTAATATATATTAAATCATTTAAAATGTAATTTATTCCTGTGATGGCAAAGCTGTTTAGCAACTATAATTCAGTCCTCAATATCACGATTATTCAGAAATCATTATAAAATGCTGATTTGGTGCTCAAGAAACATTTCTTCTTATCAAGGCTGAAAACTGTTGCAAACTGTGCAAACTGTGATACTT